AAAGACCTAATGGTTTGCAGAAACATTGTGGGTAAATGATGGGGATGTAACCCAAACATACTGCAATGGATGTATATATACTACAATAGTGAGACCAATCATCACTTACGGGGCTATAGCCTGGAGTAACAGAATCAGTTTAGCTATTACGAAAGCTAATATCTCAAAAGTACAAAGACTAGCCTATGTTTGCATTACTGGTGCAATGAGAACCTGCCCTACGGCTGCAATGGAGGTGATCTTAAACCTCACCCCTCTACATTTGATGATAGAGAATGTGGCAAAATGGATATGATATAAAATGATCAGAAACGGCATAATCAGACGAAAGTCTACTTGCTTCAGGACTAAAGATACCTGGGACTTGGCTCAGGATGAAATGCTAAAGAAGTACAGTTTTGTGGAAAACTTCAAAACCACAGAACTGGGCTGCAAGAAAGAATGGAGCCAAAAATCCATCGTGGTTGCAACTGAAAGACATGTTATTCAGTGGTATACGGACGGTTCCAAAACCATAAAAGGAACTGGAATAGGAGTGTATGGGCCGAGAACCAAAAACTCCGAAAGTTTGGGGAAATATCCAAGCATCTTTCAGGCGGAAATTTACGCCATCGAGAAGTGTATCCAGTTTAACATCGAGAGAAACTATCATAGACAAGAGATTATATCATGTCCGATAGTCAAGCAGCCATTAAAGCGCTGAGCTCTTACGTAATCAGCTCAAAAATGGTCTGGAGATGCCTAGAACAATTGAATGAGCTAGACAATACAAATACACTTGGGTCCCGGGATATAACAGGGTACAGGGTAACGTGATTGTAGATAGTCTTGCAAGGAAAGGGACTCAAACACCCTTTGCAGGACCTTAGCCGTTCTTTGGTATCAGCAGTAACAAAATATTAGGAGAAATTAAAAAAGAATTGGGCAGTATAGAAGAACCGATAATTGGAACAATCTCTTGAGGCTGAGACAGGCTAAGATACTTCTGGGTGAATATAACCAAAAATGATCGGAAGCCTGCATCTGCTTGAGCAAGAACAGGCTACATATTGTAACAGGGATCCTTACTGGGCATTGCCGACTAAAAGGACACCTTATTAAACTGAAAGTAGTAGAGGATAGTGAGTGCAGATTCTGTGAGGAGGAGGACGAAACCTCCATTCACATTCTAACTGAATGTGTAGCATTCCAGAATCCAAGGGCACTATATCTAGGAGGATATCAAATAGAAGAGGTAGATTTACCTAACTTGAAGCCACTCCAAATACTACACTTCCTTGAGAAAATAGGAATAGAAGGGTCGTTTTAAGCATTGAGACATTTCCTTGGTGCATTAGCGACAAAAGGGGCACAATAGATCTTTTAGGTCGTAGTGTATTAACACCCCATTCCCAACATAACATAGAGCAAAAGCGTCATTGAACAATACACCAAAAATTACAAGAAAAACGTAGGTAATTTATACCCTAGATAAATAAAAAAAAACTAATAAATTAGAAAAGAAAAGCAAAAAAAATGGTAAATCTCCAGATTCCCCAAATACAAAGTAGGTAGTTCTCAACAAACTAACACAACAGCTAAAAAGAAAAATAATCAGTATTAAAAATGATTTAATAGACGCATATCTCAGAAAATTGATAAACGACAAAAATACTGATTAGGGGAGGATTCCTTTGAAATGGACAGATGAATAGGACACTTGCAATTCATTTATACTTGGCTGCATAATTCAACTCCTTGCACTTGCTATGTATTGGTTTACTCAGTACCCGCTATTAGCACTAGATTCGGTTGTCATGTCACGTCATTTACTGCTGCTATCTTTATTGTAAATATTATTTTCTTCTATATCTTTCTGAAAAATGATATAAATATTAAACAAAAATTTATCTGCAAAAATCCAAAATAAAAACATAATATATTCGTAATATTCAGTCATCAGTAATCTTATTTTCTGTTCAAATCCTATTACCGTTTCAGTTGACATCTTCTAATATATTCAACAAAATCCATTTTTTTAGAATCTTACTTTTTGGCAAAAACCGGCTTCAAGGCAAACTTTTTCTTGAAAATTTATTATAAATTAGTACATTGTGTTCGAGAAGAACGCTATCGAATTTCTGCGGATTTTAATCTGCCCTCCAATCTCTTGATATCACAATAAGTGCCCGATTTTCTGTTAACTTGTTGTATAATTAGACCATATCTGAATATAGACCTATAAATGTTTGCCTTCATTTCCAACATCGAGTTATATTTTTGTCTGAGTCACTAATGAATCTCGTAAAATGAGCCTTAATATCTGGTAACTAAATGTAGTCATCCTGTACATTTTCCCGCATCTTTTTCATCCTAATTTATGTTTGAGTAATCAATACATTTCTATTGAACTGTATAAAAGTGCCTTATCTGTTTTACAAGCACTTGATGTCGCATAAAGTGCCTTAATGTCTGTTAACTTGTTTTAGAATTATACCACAACTAAATATAGAATTCCCTTTCAATTTTCTGTAAATGTTTGCCTTAGTTTTCAACATCGAGTTTATATTTTAGTCTGAGTTATCAGTATATCTCATTTGAAGTTTCAAAACATGCCATACTATCTGTTTTCCAATCACACCACAATTAAATGTAGACCTCCTGTGCAATTTTCTTCATATTTTTCGCTTTTATTTTAAACATTGAGCCTATATTTTTGTCTATGTCATTTATATTTCTCATTTGAAGTCAAGAAAAGCACTAATATCGGGTAATATGTTCTCTAATCACACCACAACTGATTATAGAGTTGCCATACAATTTTCAGCACATAATATTTCGTCTTCAATATCGAGCCTACATTTTTGTCTGAGCCATTGAAGCAGATAAAAGTGTTTTAATATTAGTTAATGTGTTTTCCAGTCACACCACAATAGAATATAGATTTACTGTACGATTTTCTGCATCTTTTTGCCTTTTATAAATCATTTAAAGTCGAGAAAAGTACTTTAATATCAATTAACCTGCTTTCTAATCATTTCATATCGAAAAAGGTGCCTTAATGTCTGTTAACATGTTTTCCAACCACATCACAACTTATTGTAGACTTATTTATTATACAATTTTCTGCAAATTTTTCGAAATAATTTTTACCATCGAGTTTATATATGTGTCTAAGTCATCAACGCATCTTATTTGAGGTGAATAAAAATGTCGCAGTATCTGTTTTCCAATCTCTTGATGTCATAAAAAATACCTTGATATCTGTTGACCTTTTTTTTAGTCATGTCACATCTAATTCTAGACCTCCTGTACGAATTTCTGCAAATTTTTGCCTTCATTTTCAACATTGATCTATATTTTTGTCTGAGCCATTATTATCTCATTTAAAGTCGCAAAAGATGTCTTAATATCGGTTAATCTACTTTCCAATCACACCACAATTAAATAAAGACATTCTGTACATTTTTATGCATATTTTTCGCCTTCCTTTACAACATCGAGCCAATATTTTTGTCTGTGTTATCATTACATCTTATTTAAAGTGAAGAAAAGGGCCTTAATATCTATCAATCTGTTTTGTAGTCTCTAGATGTCAGAAAAAGTGCCTTAATATCTGTTAAAGTATATTATAATTAGACCACAGCTAAATATAGACCTCCAGTATGATTTTCTGTAATTTTCGTCTTCATTTTCAATATCAAGTTATATTTCTGTCTAAGTCATCAATATTATCTCATTTGAAGTCACAAAACGTGCTTTCATATATGTTAATCTATTTTCCAATCACAACTGAATTAAATATAGTCATCCTGTTAATTCTTCTACATATTTTTCGCCTTCGGTTTCAACAACGAATTTATATGTTTGTCTCAGTTATTAATACATCTCATTTGTAAAAGAGAAAACTGCTTTCACCTGTTTTACAATCACTTGATATTTCAAAAACCTGTTTTCTAATCAGACCACATCTGAATATAGACGATTTTCTATATATTTTCGCCTTCATTTGGAACATCGAGGTTATAGTTTTGTCTTGGTCAACATTATATCTAATTTGAAGTCGCAAAACGTGCCTTCCTTTTGTTAATCTATTTTTTAATCAAACCACAACTGAATATGGACCATCTAAAACATTTTTTGCATCTCTCTCTTCAACATCGAGCCTACGTTTTTGTCTATATCATCCATACATCTTATTTGAAGTTGAGAAAAGTACCTTAATATCGGTTAAACAGTTTTTCAATCTTTTGATGTCACAAAAAGTGCCTTATTGTCTGTTAACCCGTTTTCCAATCACACTACAACAGAATATATATAGATATAGATATCACGTATAATTTTTTGCATGTTTTTCATCTTCATTTTCAACAACGATCCTATACTTTTGTTTGAGTCATCACACATCTCATTGTAAATCGAGAAAAATACCATTATATATCTGTTTTCCAATTACTTGATGTTTCAAAAAGTGCCTTAATATCGACATGTTATGCAACCACACCACAACTGAATATAGATATCCCATACAATTATGATTATTCCATGAAGTTAAGCCATTTGAACTTTTTGCCATGTTGGATAATAAGTTTCCAATTTTTTGAGTCCAACCAGATGTTGATTTTATTACGGAAAAAGCAGAGGTGGTTTGTTGATGCGTGCTAATGTCGGTTATAGATGTTTGAAGCTAAACTGAATAAGGGCGTGGAGAGCTAACAAATGAATGTATAAATCAAACGTAATACTTATAGATACTAAAAGAATATTGTGCCTCTAATCTCTATCTATCTGGATACCAGTACTTCCACATTTTAGAGAACCACTGACAGATAAATCTCATTGTTTCTCACACAGTACCACACTTAAAATAACTATTTTCGCTTGTACTGCTTCGCGATACTGCATGCTTACGCTGTTCACGTTGTCATCTCGTTTTCAATGTATCATAACCTCGAAATTTTCCGAAACAGCATCCGCTGACGTGGCAAGTATCCGCTGACGGTACCAGGATCATCGGTCACATGATCTTACGGAGGAATTCCAGAGACACGACGACTGGATCAAGCGCCGCCATTTTGGGACTCAAAGTGGTCGGCGGGAAAATTTTAGAAAACGGTATGACCGGGGCCATTATAGAAAAGGTTAAAAAAGGCAGTATCGCAGACGTGGAAGGACAACTTAAACCTGGTGAGTACGGTTTTAATATTTTTTTTTAGTAATTGTTTTTGAACCGCCAATGCAATGTACTTATGATTATTTGAAACAATCAAATTAAATCTTTTTTCAAGGGGACGAAGTCATAGAGTGGAACGGAAGATCTCTGCAGGGTAAAACATTTCAAGAAGTTGCTGATATTATCGCTGAGAGTAGACAAGAAGCGAACGTCGAACTAATAGTATCCAGAAGTATGGGAAATAGAAGGGTGGCTCAAGCAAACTGGAGACAATCAGTCGCTCAAAGAGGTACGCCAAGTCACG